ATAGTAAAAATGGCAATCTTACCAAAAGCAATCTACAGATTCAATGCAATCCCCATCAAAATCCCAACACAATTCTTCACAGACTTGGAAAGAAAAATACTCAACTTTATATGGAAAAATAAATAACTTATCCTTATACCCACAGAGAAGTGTGGTTCTCATTTTTCATCAAAGAAGCTTCTTTGTACAACAGATGGAGCCCACTAAAGGTACACAATTGGTGGAATTGCAGAAAATGTGTAACTACAGAATGCCTATCTCCAACTGATACTTTTGCAATGCAATTGCTAAACCTAAGGCTTGGGGAAAATTATGTAAGAGAGGGCTGAAAGATTTTATGAGCCAGAAGCCCAGAAAGTCCCTTGGAAATAACAGAGAAAATGCACCTAGGAACTCTCAATAATATGATTGCCTGAATAAGAACACCACCATGATGACAACCAGCTGACAGGCCACTGGGGACAAGGGGAATTCCACTTGGTCTCCCCCAGAGATAAAGGTGGTCAGGGGCTGTTGAGAGAAGGAGCATCAGTTGCCCTCATGTCTAATCTCAAGTGGTCAGTCCTGGACACATGCACATATAAGCAAAGCTAAATTGATTCAGGAAAGAGAGAGAGAGAGAGAGAGAGAGAGAGAGAGAGAGAGAGAGAGAGAGAGAGAGGTACATATAATAATGATATGTTTTTTAAAGAGATCATGAATGTGGGAGAGGAAGGAAGAGTTGGAGGGAAGATGAAGGGGCAGGCGTGATAAATGTGGTGCTCATAAAAACTGTTTTTATAAAATGATTTAGTTGAATCTACTACTGCCAATCTGTTAGACCAGCAAAATTCCTTAACTAAATCCTAAATCTTATCCTTACACCCACAGATTATTGTAGCAATCGTCCTTCATCAAAGCAGCTTCTTTCTGTAGCTAATGGAGACCATTGCTGAAAACCACAACTAGACACAGTGCAAAGATCAATGGAATGCTGGAAACCCAGTCCCAGTACATATACGTGTGTGTGTGTGTGTGTGTGTGTGTGTGTGTGTGTGTGTGTGTGTGTGTGTGTATCTGCATGTATGTCTTTGGGGACATCATGGGAGAAGGTTAGAAAGATTGTAAGAGCCAGAATACCAAGAAGTTTGCTGTGTGACTGTCTCTCTTAGAAATGACTACATAAACAAGACCTGGACAATGATACTATAAATGAACATGCTAACACTGAAGGAGACAATCTCCAGGGATCCCACCCCCAGACTAAGAACTACAGGCAACTAATGACTACTGAGAGAGGGAGAATTGACTTTTCCAGGGATGAGGCCCCTGATTGGTTATCCAAAACAAAATGGTAGGCCTAAAGCCATATACACACAAATACAAAAATTGAAGAAAATAACCTGATGTATTTTAGTGTGTGTGTGTGTGTGTGTGTGTGTGTGTGTGTGAACATAATTTAAAAAGAAGCTGTAAATTTGAGAGTGAGGGAGCACATAGGAGAGTTTGGTGGGAGGAAAGGAAAGGGAGGACGTGTAACTGTATTTTAATCATATAAAGATAATTTTAAAGAAAAAAGATTTCAAGCTAGCATTCACATATGAAAAAGACATGTGGCATTTGCCTTTCTAAGTCTGGGTTATCTCATTCAGTATAGTGTTTTCCAGCTCCATCCATTTACCTGTGAATTTCACTATTTTGTTTTTTTTTTCAATTGTGTAAATTTACCACATCTTTATTATCTACTTATCAACTGATAGATGTCTAGGGTTTTTCCATTTCTTGGAGATTGTGAATAGAGCAGCAATGAACATGGATGAATAAGTTACCTCTGCAGTACAAGACACAGTTATTTTGTCTATATGCTCAAGAGTTATAAAGCTGGATCATGCCTTCATTTTTAACTAAAGGTAATGAATGTAAGCATGTATAATAATCTACTATAAAATAATCTATCATTCTGTGATAAGCCTGAAGCTTCCTTGGGTTAAAAACAAATGCCTTCTGTGGATTCCTAACTCTTTAACTACATATTTGTATTTAATGTACTGCTGTTTACATTTTAGAGCCTTTTTATTCTGGAGGTTTGGATGGGAAAGAAGAAAGGTCAAGACTTGACTCTTTGGCATTGGCAATGTCCTGAGGCAAAGATCTGAGTTTCTTTAATTTAGTGATGTTCAATGATGGAAGAGGGGAAAGCAGATTCTGTAACTTTCCTCTGTCCCCAGAGGATGGCATTGAACAACTTGGAGACATATTTGGTCATTATAGCTGTCATCTTTGGGATCAGAGATTCTCCTAAACACTGTGCCATGCACCAGAAATCCATCCCATAGCAGGATATCAGAGGGCCATTATAGGGCCAGTTTGTACTTAGACAATATAGTGCTGATACAGCTATCTGGCATGGGCCAAGATGACTAATGTGGTAGATAGGTATGAGTCAGCACAAAATGATTGGCATTGAATGTCTGGGGAACCCAAGAATAAACAACAACATAGTCTGTTAGACAGCTATTCCTGGCAAAAATGCCCCATTTGTGAGATTTTATAGAGGCCTTCAAGCCCACCAGCCTAACAGTGAGTGTTTGTCTTTGGGCCTGTGTGCCAGTGGTCCCTGTGTGTGTTTGTATCTATCTGTGTGTGGCCCACATGTGCCATTCTAAAGCTTGGATGCCAGTAAATAAAGTATGCCATGTTTGTTTATCTGCCATGCCTTGAAATTTTTTCAGCCTTCCAAGCTCCTGAGACCCTCCCCCATTCTTGGTATCAGAGCTTAGACCCTATGAGCTGAAATGAGAAGCTGTGCATTGCTGTGAGAGGAATGAGATGATGCACACTGGAAGCAGCTCCGGGGTTACTTATAGAACAAAACAAGCCTCTGAAGAATGCTAGTGAGATCAATGGGAGGGGATGATTAACATTGCTAAGCCCTGCCTTTTCCTCTAGGCCATGTAAAGCCAGGATACCTGCCTGATTAAGGATCCCACCTAGGTGCAAGACTAAATAGTGTTCCTAATTGACCACAAGGCC